TCTTTATTTCGAGTTTTTAGCTGTACACTGCTATACTGAAACTTAGAAAAATCGTAACTTCCTCATACGAAGTCAGATTTTGCCGTTCTTTTTATGAAAGTTCTCGGTTTAACATAAACTACAACTTTCATTAAGATTGTTATGGATAAAAAACCTTTTATTGAAAATTCAGTTTTTACACTGAACAGTGTTTTGCCGGTTTTGTCGCGGATCTTCGATTGGTCATAACTTCTTCGTTATAACTCGATTTTTAATGTTCTTTATGTTTTTGGAAACCTTGTTACAATCTCTATCACTTGGTTCATCGCAATCGAGATTGTTTAATGATTTATTTTTTAGGTTCAATTATGTAAATATACACCGTATGCTAAAATTACTCTTTATTGTTTTAAAAAGAACTACAAATTGACCTACATTATTACATAGGTTTGAAATAACGGTTTGTTACACCTGAGTACCTAAAAGATCTGAGAAAATGTAGAATTGAAATGTTTGACTCTGCTTCAGGTAAGTCTATTATCTAACTCTATTAAGTTCATAATTGTTGATTCTTAATACATGATGTGACAAGGTTGTATTTTGATGTTTTGTAGGATCAGGCAAAGGGAAGGAAGCTTAAAGGAAGAGTATGTTGAATCTGATCGCGAAGATGGATTTCAATCACATGGTTCGAAGATCGGATTTTTGAGCTGCTGCTTAGGAGTTATGATAGATTGCTAGGAAATATGTTATAACATAGTTTTCATTTGTAATCGCATTGTAAGGAAATGTTTTTTCCGCATTTTATAAATAAATAAATTTTTTGTTAATTTTATCTTATCTTATATCTCCTTACAATGGCATTTATGAAAAATTGATGTTTGTGTGTTTCTATTGTTAGCAATATGAATTTGATTCTTTCGTTTGTGGTAGTGTCGAGTATTTGCCAAATAAGGAAAGATTCTCATCACCCAAGTTTCAATTGGACAAAAACTTGGAATCATGCAAGTTGTATTGTATGATGAATGAGAATTTTCATCTTTGGTAAATTAAGACTAATTCCTTGTTCACATGTATATGTGAGTCAAGAGAAGGACTAGGGGACCGGGTACACTCAGTGTGCGCTGGTCAAGATCCACCACAAAGATCGATAAAACTATTCGTCATGATTTACTAAAGTTTAGTAAACATGGTTATGCTTACAAGTTTAAGTATAATTCTGAACATTGGAAAGGTTTCAATGTATGGCAGAACGAATGAGAAGAATCAAATTAGGCAGAAAGATAAAAGTTTCTCCAATCTGAAAAGATGGGAGAGTACTTTAGTATCATGTTTTATGATCATCTTAATGTTTATGGAAAAACCATGTCACAGTTGATCCTCTAAGGATATCTTAGTGCATTTATATGGCTAAGAAGAGGAATCGTGAATTGTTAAAATGGTTAAATCAAGAAGATGAGTCATACTTCATTCCCAAAACAAGTCTTAGAGTCATACTCCAAGATTGTGCCTCGAGTGACATAATCTTAAGAAGGTTTATAACACTTGTCAAATGTAGAGTAAAATGTTTCTTACTCTTGTAAATTTGAAATTGGTAAGTTGTGATGTCTTAGTAAGGACAAAGACCGACTATGGCCAATGGTGTGAAGTGTTAGTCTTGATTAGAATCCGCACTAACTCTTGAATATTTGTTTGTCAAGTAATGTTCCTTGACAAAGTGAATCTTATATGTCAAGAGGACAGTGGGAGTCTTAAAGATCTTGACAAGTTTCAAGAACTAATCAAGAATAAACCTATTGTTTATCACTAGCACACGACTTGAGGTTTATAACCTATCGTGTTGACATATTCTTGTTTTTGTGCCCATTCCAGTTAAAGTTGACTATGCATGTTAGTTCTGTGAGTTCTGAGTTGTTTGCATAACTACTTGGAAACAATGGTAGGCCCTTGTGCTGCCAGGTGGCAAGAAATTAAGATTGAACAAGTTCAGTTCATATGAGTTTGGATTTGTCACTAACCATGTCTTGTGATTATGGTCATGACAAATTCACATGGATAGGAACACATACACCATAAAATCTAAGTGTCATAAGGTTTATCTCCGATTCATGAAAATGATGGTGAGGAAATGCTTTCACTAAGTAGATTTTAAGGAGATAGAAATTCTGATATTTGCATTCTCAAATTCAATTATGATTACGACATCCCTCTTCATAATTTGAATTTTGAGAAAAGGCAAAGGGTCTAAACATTTGAGACTTATTTCTATAAGTTCTTAAATTATTAAGACACACATGTGAGCTATCTAAGGAAAGGTGTATGATTTTGAGAAGCCTAGATAAAGTCTTATCGAAGCATCTCGTATCAGAAATCTGAACTTTGGTAATGAAAGTCAGTAAGTATTGATTTCTAGAAGTCCAACTGATTTCTGAATACATGTCAAAGCTAGTGGGAGCATAAATGTTATGCTAATAATAATTATTATGCTAGTGGGAGAATAACTATTATGGAAAGTGTTGCAAGTTGGCAATGTTAATTATAGAAAACAAAGGTTTCAATTCACAAAGTTGTGGATTTGAAAAGTTGTTTTGCTATAATTAAGGGAGAGGAATTTATACTTCATTTCAAATCTAAAAGCCTAGATTGAGATTTTAATCAACTTTAGTCAAATATATATGAATGTTATGTTGGAATGGTTTAACTTAAGGAAATTCTATATATAAAAATATTGTAGCAAAAGACTGATTAAGTATCATGTCTTTATGTTAGACATTATGAATCGTATCCCATATGCTTCAGGTATAGGATCGATTACATATGTCATAATATTCTTGTGTTCTAAATTTTCCAAATGCCTAGGGCATTAAGAGGGAAAAAAGAATAGAACTGGGTATGACTAAAGTGGTTAAACAACTGTTATGGACAATCTAAGCTTCGCCAAAGATTGGTCGCTTAAGGACAGTTGGAAGTATAGTAAAGGATGAACCATATTGACATTAATATGAATAGACAGGAGTCTATTAATAATGAGTTGTCGTTTGGAAAATATGGAATGTTTCCATATTGGGAGTTGAAAAATAGACGAAAAAGTTAGAAATTTTTATGCAAGAAGGATGTTCAAAGGAATGTACTTTGAATTTGAGACTTTATTTCCATGTAATTGTCTTGTAACAATCTCCAAAGGAATATTTTGTAATATCATTGGTCAAGTCACTGTGACTTTTAGCACCTAGACATTACAAAAGAATCATTGCATGATAGTTTAGAATCTAACACTTTCTAGCAGTGACAAGAATTTGGAATTCTTACACTTGCAATAAGGATTTGGAATTTTGAAATGAGCATCATTGAAATGTTTTTCAATTGATCTATTTCAAAAAGTAAGGACCATTGACAAACATAGTGTGCATGCTTGGAGCGTGGCATAACTATGGTTTTAATTTGAGTATTAAGTTGATTATTCGAAATATTATACAATGAACGATGAGTAATCAATATGGCTCAAAAGTTTTGGGGCCATATAGGATTAGTATTATTCTTGTGTTTCACTTTGCATGTTTTGACTTCCCGAATAACTAGGTTATTCAAACCATCCACAGTCGATCATACTTTGGAAGTAGGTATTGAGGCAAGACTGTCATGAATGGGTCTGTAGTTTGTCTAGGACAAGGTGGCTACAGTGTTCATGAGTGCTCCTGGAATAAGATTCGAATTGGATTCAACCCACGCTCATGTGAATTACTTCATGGATTTTATCACGAGTGATCATGAGACGATAATATATTATATTCTTGAAACGGAGACATGTGAGTTGTATTTGCGAGTCGGCTGCACATTGACATATGTAAACGCACCAGTAACTTGGTTGTTATAAAACATATTGTTGTGTGTAATTTGATGAGTAAGTACAAGCGAGCATTTGGGTTGAAGTTTATCTGTTCCTTTTACCCCATGTGGATAAAAGCAATATCTGTGGGGCCCTCGATGATTTATTGATGACAACAGGCCTGGACTGATTTGATTTGTTCAATTAGTCGGTCGTCATAAATCGGAAATCGGGAAACAACAGATGGATAGAGAGAATGATTATAATCCATGTCTCAGTCCATATGATATCTAGAATGGAGGAATATATGATCCCTTATCTAATGGACACGTCATTGACTAGGTCAGAGTTCGACAGTGGCTTTTAAGAGCTATGATTGCTAGTCGGGTTGGAGTCATGCTTGAAATAATAGTTATTAGACTTATCCAAGTGGGATACTGTTAGATTAGGTGTCTAATCCCATAACTATTATTGGTATGTACTTGACCTCAGAGTAGCATGGTCCATTTGGGTTGCATGGCATCAGAACAATTTGTATAGACTTTTGTGAGAAGAGGATATTTATGATTTATTATAATTATTAAGTTCTAATATATTAATATGAAATCATATTATTTAATTAGTATTGATAAAGAATTTGTTTGGAATCAACTTTGTGATCAAAAGAGACTAATTAAATAAATGGGGATTGATTTGGTAAATCATTCATTCTTATAAAGTGGGCTTATGATCCATAGTTCTTCATGTTAGGCTAAACCCATGTGGTGACCCATGGATACTCCATGGAGGTTAAAACCCATGGATCATCAGGAATGTGGAAAGTCATGAGTTACATGGTGTAACCCTAACGTGCACACTATATAAGAAGCCTCATAGCTCATGAAATGGCACCTTTAAGTGACAAGAAGTGAGGGCTAGCCGATTTGTGAAGCAAGTGTTCTTCTCTCAAGTTATTCCAATTGTTGGTGGTGTTGTGTGATTCCATTTGAGGTGCAACACTTAGGGCACTAAGTTCTTAAAGGTCCAAGGCTTCCAACTACAACAAAGGTATGTCTTCTAACTGTTTTATTACCCAAGTATCAAAGTTTTGTATGCTAGTTAGGGTAATACCTTGTAAGTTCAAGTTTGCATGTATAATAGAGAAAACATAGATCCAAGGTATTTAGGGTTGCATGTACACCTTAGGAGTGTTAGAATGCTCAAAACCCAACAAAATCAACTACCTCCTATCCCATCTCCATCAGTCTCTGATGATAATCTTGGAGCAGATTTAGATGAGCCCACATCTCCTCCTAAATATGGTACATCCTCTAAGCCACACTCTTTCTTATATTCCTTGTTTCAGGCTCCATCTGATTATGATGAACCATCATCCCCCGTTCCAGTTTCACCAGTAGGCTTTCAGTCAATTCTAGAAAGCCCAAGCAATCGTGTTTCCTTGGATTATGACTCACCTGAGGACGATGACCAAGATGGTGAAAAGCAATATGAACCTGAAGATCTTCCTAAAAGCTCTCGAGTACAAGATAATCAAGATGGAGATACTACAATGCAAATGATAGACATACCTACCAGTGAAGGACTGATAGTTGATGATGAACCACATGTTATGTCCATTGTCCTTTACTCCAAACCATCTACCGGGACATTTAGTATTGATCTTGATTATTATTCTCCCTCACCTCAAAAAGAGTCTCAAGAACGTGATGCTACTCAAGAAGCTAAGTTCTCTTCTTTTCCACCTGATCCTTCTCAAGACGATGGTAATCCAACATATACAAATGAAGCAAATACATATGAATCTGAGACTGAACGTATTAGACTAACTGCTCAAATGGTAGCTGATGGTATTGAGAAGATTCGCTTTCACACATCTTCTCCCTTTGAATATTTTAGACAACTTTCAAGAGTATCTTGAACGTATGGAAGACAATGTGTATATTCTTAATGAGGAAACAGAAGCACATGTCAAAAAACTTCAGGTCACTATTGAAGACTTTGAAGGCACAATTGCTTATATCAAGGGACAAGTTGCTCGTAACATGCGGAGGATCGAAACTCTAGATCAAAAAATTCACAACACGATTGAAGATCATCTATCTCCGATGCATCAAAAGATAGATGACTTTATTTAGTCCTTATCCAATCTAGAGTCTGTCTATGAAGCCAAATTAGATCATCTGTAGAATCATGTTATTGCTCAAGACCGGTACATCTCCACTCTTGAGAAGTCCATTGCAGAACTATCTAAAGCTTCCACATCATCCTCTACCTCTCCCTTTCAAGCATTCAGTGAGCAAGTTCAACGCCAATTGGATTCATTGCGATCAGAAATTGGAAATATCTCAAAATCCAATTCCCAGAAAGAAAATAACTCCTCAGGTGAAATATCTTCTCTTCAGAAGACTATTCAGTTGCTAGTCAATGATGTCAAGCCTATCAGGACACAATATTCTACTTCTAACATACATGAACTTCAGTAAAAAGTTGCATCGACTAATTTCAAGCTTGACTTGATCTTAGCAAAGCTATCTGGTTCAAATGAAAGGCCACCTGAATTAGAGGAGGAAAAGGTTACCAATAGTAGATAAAGTCAGTCGCCTATAATACATAAAATTCCAGACTCACAAAATGAGTTTGAGAAAAGGAGACAAGAGCAACTAGAGTCACTCAACAAAATGGCTACTGATGCATGATTAAAAGCTCAACAGAACAGAGTAAAGATGGCAGAGAAAGAAAATGAACTCGTTCGACAGCAAGGGGTCAAGGATCCATCTCTAAAAGTTCCAAGAAGGAAAGATGTTTACATCACCAAATCGTCACCATATCAGAACCAATTGCTCAACCAAAGCTTCCTCAAACAGATCTCAAGGATAAGGGAAAACAAAATATTGTCTTCAAGTCTAAGAAGGAATTAGCTAAAGAAGCTCAAACAGAAATAGATGAAATAATTAGCTAAGCAACTTAAGGATAATGAATTGAAGTCTAAAAAGAGGTGCTTCTCAAAAGGAAATCTTCAGAGATATCGCCTGAAGAAAGAAGTACATGGCATGGTGAAGAATTTCGAGCACCATCTCCTAAAAGAACCATCTTCTTCAATCCTGATAGAGATTCTTATCAAAAGATCAAGGTCATCAAGCCCACAAATTCCTTCACACCTCCTTCAGACCTCACTAAAGAAAACAGGGATATTCCTGCACCCCCGAATGGTATGAAGTTCAATTTATGGCCAAGTGCAATTTATCCAGTTGAGCCCGATGTAGAAATTGAAGATGTGAAGAAAGGATTCTTCCTGAAGAAACCAATTCAAGTTGTCTCTGTATGGTCAAAATTTAAGATTGCTTCAATCAGCAAAATTGACATGCGGAAATTTAGAAAGATGCCATATGCATTCTTTCAAAGGAAAAAGGGCAGACAACTCTAAACTCATGTTTTCTGAAGTTGATTTCCCTAGAATAAATCAAACTGATATCAGATCACTAATCATTTGGTTGAAACAAAGGGCGAGTACAGATAAAGCTTATGCAGATGTCCTACAATGCCTAAGGCAATATGTGCTCGACATGGTTATTGATTTCAACGTTGACTGGGAGATTGGACAACTAGGAGAAAAGGAAGCCGTGGAACCAAACTTGGATCTAAATATGAAAAATGAGTCACCTGGGAACATTCTAAAGAAACCACACAGAGGTGTTGTATTCTCTTCTAAAGGTCGACTGAAATTCATGAGAATTTCTCAAAAACATCTATTCTCTTCTGAATTTATTCAAGGTATCATCAGTTTATTGAAGAGAATAGGAGATCAAGATGAGTCGCTGAGAGTGAAGATCATTGAAGAACTTACTTGGTTTTTAAGTTTTTGATAGTGGTTAAGTAACTTGAGAAACAAAGTTTAGATTGTGTGCTCTTGTTTTGTTTTTAAAAACATGTGGATGATGTTTTCTTTTTGCAACTAGTAATTCATCTTTTTGTTAAAATTCATCTTGCATGTTATTACTTTTATTTCTTCTTTTAATTTTACTCCTTATTTTAGTAACGATCACATAGGGGGAAACTGTTGGAAAATATTTGTATGTGATTATCACTTGAAATAAGTTGAGTCTTTATATATATATATATATATATATATATATATATATATATTATAATATATATTATATATCTAACGAACATTATCAGAATGTTTCAGGTTGGAAAGATATTGAAGATTCAACAAGTGTTTGAAGGATCAGATGTTGGAGCACTTGAAGTGAACATGGAGCGCTTAAAGAAAGCAAGTTGGATCATTATGATCTCAGATGGCACATCTAGATCATATATGGATCATCAAGATATTGGTGGATCATCTGGAAAATTGATGGATCATCAGAACATTGTTGGCTCATCCACATCTCTATGGCTCAACAAGATGTCAGTTGATCAACATGAATACTTGGTGGCTCAACAAGGTTACACATGAATCATCATGTATAATGAAGGTGTGTCCAAATGCTCAAAGGAACATGAAATTCGTCCATGGTCCATCTTGAACACGCAATTGTACATCTTCAAGTTCAAGACACGGTCCAACATTCAAGAAACAACTCAACTTGATCAACAACACTTCTAGAAGTTGATGACATCTCAGATGACAATTGAGCGACATGATGCTCATGTTGCTCATCATATTTTCAATGATTGATCAAGAAGGCTCAAGAATTATGAAGACTCATAACTTGGATGGAACCCTAACGGAATACTAACGAAATTGGAATATTGCATCCATTCTCCGTTAAGTAGGGAAAAGGTGTTAACTGATGACTAAGTCATGATGACATGTCAACACTTGATTGGTCAAGCCATGTTATGGGCTTTTCCAAAGCCTATAAATAGGCCCCTTAGGATCCATTATAAACTTGATATTCCTTGTTCATTCCGGATCATTCTGCATAATTGTTTCTTAGACTAGTTTTCAGAGAGCCATTTGAGTGTTTTAGCTTGTCTATCATTCATACACTTGTAACTGATTGTTGATGAATATGAGACACTTTTGAATCATTTATATTGAACATATAAAAAACGTTTTTAACATTAACGTGGTGATTCACAACTCTTTATTTTCCACATTACTTGCCACTTGACGATTCTGAAACTCTGTTTCAGTATTTTCAACGCTTGGACTATTCTAGTCTAGGTTTACTGGATTTTTCCTCATTTCCTCAAGTGAGTTCCCCCAAAGTACCAACACAACACACGATCAAAATAGTAACAAAAAACAACATACTATGGGTCCAATCAACCATCGGGTTGGAATACCCCAAGCCCTTCAACCATCGGGTTGAAATGCCGACATACTATGGGTTAAATCAACCATCGGGTTGGATGATCCCTGGCCCTCAACCATCGGGTTCGAATTCCAACATACTATGGGTCCAATCATCGTCGGGATGGAATACCCTCAGGCCCATTCAACCATCGGGTTGGTACGCCCCAGCCTGTTGGCTTACGCACAAAGCAGTGAAGCCTCAGCCACCGACCAAACATGTACACATATTACATATAATCATATAATAGTCTACAGATAGTCAAACAGATCTACAGATCACTAAGCATAGCATCATCCTTGTAACACCGTAATTTTTCAAACAAATTTTTCATTTTAAAATCACATGATTCTCACATTTCATAAAAATCTCATTGGTTTAATTTACAAAACACAACTCCATAATTGCTTGATTAATAATCCAGGATCCTCAAAACGTAACTCTTTCACTGGTGTGTACAATCAAGCTGGTGCCTTCCCGCGATCCTGAGAAACCTGAAACACATAACACATAACACGGTAAGCACGGAGCTTAGTGAGTTCCCCAAAATACCACACACACAACTCATTATCCACTCGAGGCTATATCATTGTAAGACCCTCCGGTCAATGTGTCTCAGTGGGACCCTCCAGTCCCACGGTTCGTTGGACCCTCTGGTCCGGTCTGTAAAGCTCCGCATAGCATAAATCACAAAGACATAATGCACAACATAAAACATAAGGCAAGATAACATAATACTCAATGTAAGCACATAAGACCCTCAGGTCACACATAAGTACCACTCTAGGTAAAGTATAGTGAGAAGACTCACCTTGCAAGTAGCAAGCAATCATCCTCGAACTCGAATCTCGAACTAGCCACTGCCTAACACATAGGGTAAATATCTCTAGTTAATACTCGATTCTCGATTCTAAATAACCAAATGTTATTCTTCTCCTTCTAACTCTTGAATTGGGTAAAAGACCATTTTACCCCTCCATGGTCTCCATTACTCATGTTGACCAAACCCTAAAGTCAACAGAAGTCAAACTCGAGTCAACAGTCCATGTTTGACCTGACTCGCCGAGTGCACTAATGCGACTCGTCGAGTCCACTCGTTCCTCATAAGTCTCGTGAAGGTCTAGCTCGTCGAGTTAACCCCTAACTCGCCAAGCTATTGCACGGTCCATCTCATCGGGACAAACCCTAACCGACTCGTCGAGTTAGTTCATGGACTCGGCGAGTCCCTTTGATCTGATTTCTCATTCAGACGATTTAAGGCAGATCTATCACTCCAAACACTAGATCTACTATCCTAAGGCTCGATTGTCACGTAAAGCTTCGATCTTTACGCTCATGCATGGTGGTTTTGCTCCAATCTACCAATACATGTTCTCACAAGGTGTTAAACACCATACTCCTCTCATGGATGAATAAAATTGGGACCTTTGGGCTCTAGGGAACTCAAAAGCTCCAGATCTGAGGTTTAAACCTCTTGATAACTTAGTATTCTCGAAGTCCCAAATAATATGTGATGAAAAACCTAACTTCTCAAACTCATGAGATCCAACTAATAAGATGAGAAAGGTGTAGACTTTATACCTTCTACAGAAGCTCCAGGTGAAGAAATGCAAGATCCCATAGCCTCTTCTCGTTCCTTGCTTGTTGCTCACTCCTTTCCTTCCAATGATTCACCAAAAACACTTGATATTAGCTCAAGCACTCTCTCTTATCTTCAATGGCCGCTAAGGGTTTCACATAGGAGAGTTGGGCAGCTGGTGAGTCGCATTTGAGGTTATAAGTCTCCTTAAATAGGCCGCAACCCCGGGAATTTAGGGTTTCCTCGTACAGCACCAACTCGACGATTCGGCACACTGACTCGTCGAGTCCGCTCATTAAACCCACGCGGATAACTCGACTCTACTCGACGAGTTGGACTCACAATTCGTCGAGTCGCTCCATAAACCTCAGAATTTACTCTTACAATGATATATCTAAAAATCCGGATGTTACAATTCTCCCCCACTTGAATTAGATTTCGCCCTCGAAATCGCTCCTCCACAACACATAGATCAAACCCAAAATCCGAAAACACCACCGGAAGAATCTCATGCCACACAACTAACTTCCTCTATGGACACCTGAATCCAACAGGAACTCCCATCCCGGAAAAGGACACACCCTTCGCCCGCTACGAAACCCCCTTATGACTCTCCAGAATCTGGAAACTCTAGTGGCCTGTCTCACTGCCAAACCGCCCTCTCAAGATATCACCATGTTATTCGCTCCTCGAATAACAGACCTCGATAACTCACTGCCCCTCTGATTCTCTCGTTGCGACTGATAGAAACAAGTCAATGCCCAAGAATTGGCTACCGATCACTCATACCAGACACATTAAACAATCCAGATCATACTCCAAGGGACGTAAGGGTCACATCACACCAGGGACCCGCCCATTTAACTGCAATCAGAACCCATCTGAACAAAACGTACCCCAATACTCTGTTCTTAATACAAGAAAAAGATCATGCTCGCTCAGAGGTGTCCTCGAACCTCTATGAGCATAAGCCCGATCTCCCTCTCACATATCGCTTCCAGCACGGAGCACTAGATCGACTCTCGACCCAATAGTTGAACCTCCAAAGTTTACCCACTATACACCCAATAAAACGACTTACCGGCTTCCTTCTCACAGTGACCATCTGTCACACCCCCAAACCAAGGATGGCGGAAACGTCCGGGGGTGGAGGACTTCATGTAAAGTATCACAACAACGAGTATAATAGTGCGCAAAGTAAATACAACCATCATAAATAAAATTAAAAGGTTACACCATAGTATATGTTTACATGTTTCAAAATCAATTACATTATGATGACAAAATAACTGTTTGACGATTTAACGTCCCATCCTCAAAGTGCTGATGTTTTTCCGTTTCACTGATTTCCTGAGAATACAAGTAGTTTTGAAATAGTTTCAACAATTAAGTTGGTGAGTTCATAAGAGTTTTGTTTGAGAAAGAAACCGTTTTCCTTGTAAAAGCGATAGAGTATGATTTCCAGAAAATCCAATATTTTCCTTAAAGAGTGAATCGTAAGTTTCTATGTTAGTAAATAGTGCATCCTAGAATTTCCTATAGTTTCCTTCCATAATCTGTAAGTGTATATTAGTTATATACAATTTAAGTTAAATAAACCGTTGAATATAATGGGTCTGCCCTAGGTGCACAACCCAACGAGGAACAGGAGATGAGGCGGGCCCACCAATTCTAAGTCGATCATGACTAAATTCTATATAACTTTAGCATATACCCTTAGTAATTATGGCTGAAAACTAACAATGCTAGATAGAGTGTAGTGGTAGTGGACATAAACTATACATATCATAATTCACCAAATAGTGGTAGTGATAGTGCTCATGAATTATGCATATTATAGTTTATCAACTAGTGCTAGTGGTAGTGAACATAAACTATACATATCATAATTCACCAAATAGTGGTAGTGATAGTGCTCATGAATTATGCATATTATAGTTTATCAACTAGTGCTAGTGGTAGTGAACATAAACTATACATA